CGACAGTACCAACGCTGACACTGAAAATATTTCTTTAAAACACTATAAGTAGCTCGTTAAGGACCATAACACCCCCCTTCCTTCCCCCCCCCCCCCCCCCCCCAAACGTTTAAAATCGTTTCAAACTAAATTATCTGCCCATAATAGTAATAGCCGTCACTAAACCCGACTCCACGAAGGTAAACATAGCGTGAACCACAGCTCACTAAGACCAAGAAGGGGTGGGGATGGGAGGGAGCGCGTTTACAGCTTGTTTTCTAGCGTCTCCCAGAAGAGAATTATATATATATACGAGCCTACCCGCTGCGTATCATACGCCGCTATTTAGTTGTTTTTTTTCTACTTTTCAGTAATTTATAATTTGTGAATTCGACAGTACCAATGCTGCCATTGAAAATATTTGCTTAAAAACACTACCCCCCCCCCCCCACGTGAAAGCAGCCTCCTCGTAGTTACCTCCTCTAAGTTTAAAATCGTTTCAAACTAAATTATCTGCCCCTAATAGCCGTCACCAAACCCGTCTCTATGATTGTAAAATGTAAACAGAGTGAACACCGCTCACCAGATCATGTGGGGGTGGGGTGGGGGTGGTAGTGATAGTGATAGAGAGGAAGAGAGGGGACTGCAAAGGCGCGCTTGCAGCTTGTTTTCTAACTGATCCCAGAAGAGAATTATATATATAGATAGATGGTGTATATAATGTATAATCAGTGTTCCTTCCATGCATCTCTTCGGGTGGGTGGGGGGGGGGGGCTCTGCCCGCCCGAATAATATCCTCTCCCCCCCCCCCAGCCCCCAAAAAAATGAAATGGAATTTATATAGAAAATGAATACTTTAACAGTGTCCGCCGCCCCCCCCCCCCCCCGAAAATTTCAAGTGTCCCCTTTCCTTTCCCCCTCCCCCGGAGAAAAAAAGTCTAAGAGAAACACTGAATAAAATGACGTGCCCTAGTTAAACTGTGAGCCACGCATGTCCACAGAAACTTGGCTATAATAATCATAACCGTTGACCATGGAAATGTTCCGTTGTCATTAGACTGGACTGATGCCAATTAACTATATTAATTATTTTAGAAAGTACAATGACCTATTTTATTTTTATAAGTTTGGCCAGTGGAAACAGCTTCCTGTTTCCAAATGAGTCCCGTGATGATGACGTATGATGTCACCATGACCTTGAACTTCTTTTTGTTCGTTAGAAACCCTTTATTACATTTAAAAATTGGTTTTTGTGCTTGGTTTAGATAATTAAATCTGCGTGAATACTTATCATGCAAGCATTCATTAACCCTGCCCTACTTTAAACACAACAACGCAGTAGAACCCGGATGTAATTTCGCGTCTGCTGAAAGAAAAACAACACGAAAATACATTTACTCGGTGACCGTGACCGCTGAAAGTCTAATCAATTAAGTTAGGAATTTTGGAAGATGTAAAAAAGAAAGGGGAGGTTACAACTCATATTAAGATGTTTATAATAGGAGTTTGCGTTCTTTTGAAAGCTTACTCTGTGTTAAAAGTAAATTGTGTGATACTTAGAGATACAGACTACGCAGAGGCGTCGCGAGGCGGGGGCGGGGAGTGCGGAACGCACCCTTCTGACACCATTTAGGGGGGTGACTCCAAGACAAAAAAAAGTGCAATATATATAGAAATAAATCTTTTTTTCCCAGTTCAATGAATAATTTTTAAAATGTTAAGTACAAATTGACGATCCCGACAGGGGGGGGGGGGTGACACCATGACGTAAAAATCCATACTGTAGAGAAAACAATGTTACACCCGTCTGTATTAAAAATCGATTATAGATAAACATCATTAGTATTAAATGTAAACACTTTAAAGCTTTTACCGGGGGGGGGGGGTGACACCATGAGGTACCGCACCGGGTGACACCCGGCCTAGCGACGCTACTGAGACTACGTAGAGAATATGGAAGCTTTATGATACTTTGTTTTAAATGTTAGCAAACGTAAAGAAAATTGAAGTTATATACAGAGTTTCTTCCAGGCATCTCTTCGGGGGGGGGGGGGGGGGCGAAGCCCCCCCCCCCCCCCCCCGAAAATTTTTTACCGCCCCCCCGAACGAAATGAAATTTATATAATGTATATAGAAAATATATACTTTCATCAGTGTCCGCACCCCCCCCCCCGAAGAAAGTTTACCGACCCCCCCCCCCGAAGATTTCAAGTGCCCCCCCCCCCCGGAGAAAAAAGTCTGGAAGAAACACTGGTTATATAAAACATCAAATACAAACATCAAATACACTTCAATTTGAAGTAAACAAGGTCGATAAAACGATGAAATGACGCAACTTTTTAAATAAAGGAAACCATCCATGTTTTCAATCATTTAATCACTAAGCATCTTAGTCATCTTAACAGAGTAGTAAAAGTAGTGTCTGACAGGCTTTTTGTACCATTCATCGTCTCAAAACATGACATCAAAAATAAACTTAAAAAAACAAAAATAAAATCTTGACTTAACCGGAAGAATATTTTTTTTTCTTGAACACCAAACTGCTTTTAATATAAACATAGATCTAAATGTGGTATGGAAACCTTGACCCTTATTTATAAAATTCATCCTTGTTGTTGTTTTAATTGACTGCTCTCACGAATGTAAATATTGTAGCCAGAGATCACGTGATCCGCCATTTTTGTTTACGTTGAGCATTTTCTTCGCAGGTTTAATAGTTTCATTCACGAAGCATGTGAGTCGCCCGCAGAAGTTAACATGAATGGATAGCCCGCTGGCATGGGTTACAACAGTTATCAAAATTAAATCGAGATTTTTACAAATCTCGACGTTTTACACCTCACTGATACGGAAAAACATAATTTTGCAATCTTGTCCGTATGTCTGTGTGTCTGTCTGTCTGTCTGTCTGTCTGTCTGTCTGTGTGTCCGTGTGTAAACACGATAACTTGAGTACCGTTACAGCTAGGTTGATGAAATTTCATATAAAATTATTTTATCAAAATCGTAGATCCGTATCAACTTTTAAGCGATTTCCGATAACCGGAAGTGGTACTTTTCCTACTTTGAATTTTTCAAAAGCCTATAACTTGAGTACTATTTCAGATAGATAAATGAAATTTCACATGTAAGTTAAAGATCTAATTCTCTACCTTCTGTTAAATTTTGAGTAATTTCCGTTGACGGGAAGTACTAATTTACGCTATTTCCGATTTCTCAAAAACGCATCTAAATTTATAAAGTACTAATAATATTGCGCACCATTATGAACATCTTTATTCGGCGTTCGCTTTGTGTGCCATACTTTTTTCTATGAGATTCTATTTTATTTTTAAAAGTTTATGTATTTAAAATTGATTAAAAATCATAACTATATCCCGAGTTCCCATCCCCTGTTGTTTTATATAAGAATATTCGAGAAAGTTTAGGGGAGATCACTCCCGGTTTTTTTATTTACAATATATTATTGCTTTTTCCAAATTATTTGCTGAAACAACTCAACGCGTGTCAGACTTTTAATGCATGTTATGCTCAGTATTTAATGCAAACATTTTCTCCAGGAAGGGTGGGCATTCGAAACTTTCGTTAAGGGAGGGGGGGTTGATCGTTTTAAAAACGTGACGTCACATATGGATGATCCCTTTGGACATCTGAAACAAAAGAAGCTGTGTGTATTTGCCAATAACAAATCTGACATTAATTAATTAATTAATCAAGCTGTCTTAAAACCTGCTGAAAGAAATGTCAATGTTAACTATGATGTGTAGGTATGGTCGTCAATTTGAAAACAACTTAGTAAATTTTACGTCTTTTACAGTTCTTGGGTACACATCAGACTCATGAACTAAACATCAACTGGACTAGTATTGGCATATATGCTCGACCACTAAACCCATTTAGAATCAACAGTTTGGTTATGCGAGGTAACTGTTATATTGTGTTTTAAGTGAGCATATCCAACAGTGCTTTCCCTTGTTGAGAGTTTGCTAACTACATTCAAACACGCGATTGAGAGAAACAGTTTGGGGGGGGGGGGGGGGGGCACTTGATATTTTCGGGGTGGCGGTCTACATTTTCCGGGGGGGGGGGGGGGCGGACACTTGTAAAAGTACATGTTTACTATATAAATTTCATCTCGTTCGGGGGAGCGGTAGACTTTCTTCAGGGGATGCCTAGAAGAAACTCTGGAGAGAAATAGACTTCGATTAATAAGAGAACAGAAATGGACCCCGATGGATAGAAATGGACCCCATAAGAGAAAAATTGACCTCTTGATATGAATAAAGAAACGGGCCATGTTGTTGAGAAATAAACCGTTTGATGTGATGCAGAGGCGTAGCGAGGGGGGGGGGGGGTGACACCATCAGGTTCCGGACCGGGTGACACCCGACCCTCGCTACGCCACTGGTGTGATGTCTTGTGGATATACAAGAACATGTTCTATTTCAGTTTGTATCTATCCCTGTTTGATAAGTATTGATGTTATCTTGGTTATACTGTTGTCATTTGGGGGGGGGGGGGGCTTTTGGGGGTGGGGAGGGGGATACGTGTGGCTGTAGAGATCTGGTGATCAGCTTAATTTGGACAGGAGATGACATTATAAACGGTTTTGTTGATGATTTAGATCTATATGGAGAATATTGTCTGTACAGTTGTTTAATTGTTTATAGACAAGTGGATTACAATATTTAAAAAAAACTAGCCGTCTCTTAATGCAAAACTAAACTCTAGAATACTCAGATAGCTCTCACTTCTTAGAAAAGCAACCAGGCTACCGAAACGGGAACAACTTAATATATTAGGATGATAAATATAAAAAATATTATTATACTAAATTCTCATTTTTTCCATTTCACCAATAACAAATAGATTTAGACATGTCGACTAGATTAGATCTAGCTTTAATTATTTTTTTTATTGCTCAGGTTATTTTAATTTCGAATTCTATTTTCAGAATAGTTGTTCTTATATCTATGCCTTTGTCAATGTAGAGTTCAAAGGTCAAGCTAAAAAAAAGTAAACATCACGTAGGCTAATATTAATGTTTTCAATACTATCATATTCATGTGACACTGCTCTGGCGCGTATCGAACTTGTGATATAGACAATAGATCTAGATCTATGCTCTAGATGCGTTTGTGAGATTAAGCAAATTGGAAGTCCTATCATTATCATTGACATAAGGTAAGTTCTGAACTGATATCTAGACTAGAAAAAGTAGAATCTAGATCTAGATTCTAGAGAAGAATTTTGCAATTTAGTCAACCAGATTTTTTATGTAAAAAAAATTAAAAACACTTCAGATTTCAGATTCTGAATTGTTCTTTTTTTTTTATAATTTTTAGTCTTTTTCCTTAAGTTATTACTAACTTTTAACTTATTTTGAGTTAGACTAGACTAGTCTACTTACTTACTTTACTAGATCTAGTAACTAGTTTGTTTAGGCCAGGGGTCGGCAACCTTTTGAAGCGGAAGAGCCAAAAGTTACAATTTTCAAAATTTTCCTGGTTTTAAAGAGCCACAAACATTTTTATTATTTAAAATATTTTATTTTTTATTAAGATTATTAGTATTTGTTCAAAGAGCTGAAGAGCCGCATCTTGATATCAAAAGAGCCGCATGCGGCTCGCGAGCCGCAGGTTGCCGACCCCTGGTTTAGGCGGTAATCTATCGTTTTGGGTACGTAAAATCGCCCGCGGCTATTAATGTACGAAAAAGTTACCTCATTGTCAAGGCTTTAGTAGAAGTATATTGTGGTATATTTGTGTCAAATATTATAGATAAATGAATAATAAACCTAAATCAATGGCTAAATATATCAATATATGCCAGAAATTAACTTTAAACAGCAGTGTTTGCGAGCAAGATTTGCTATATAAACAGCAGCCATTTGTAAAATAGAGTGACTTCCCCCTGTCTCGCGCTATATCCGCTATAAAAAAAACTTAAACAAGATGGCTGCTATAGTAAATGAGCATGGTTGCATCTGTTGGAAACATCGCTAGTCTTCATTTATTACTGAAAAGTTTTAATTCAATTGTTTAAAAACAGGTACATAAATGAAAGAAGGAAACATTTTTGTATTTTTCAAAACATAAATCCTCCTCAAAATGTGAAATAATTATTAAAATTTAAGGAGTCACCTGTTTTTCACATTACTAGTCGCGGGCGATTTTACGTACCCAAAACGATAGATTACCGTTTAGGCTAACACTTTACTAAAGTCTAACAGTAACTCAACTAACTGTGCAGTGTTTCAGTTAAGACAGTTAGGACTTTCTTAAGTTTATTTAATTGATTACTATAATTAGGGGCCTATCCTATAGTATAGAGCAGGGGTTCCCAACCCTGTGCCCGCGGGCGCCATTGGCGCCCGCTGAACGATTATTATGTGCCCGCCTCTCACTATTTGACAAAGACAGAATTTCTTTTCATAAACATTTTTTTTAAATGATTTATTTTTATTCATTTGTTACAGTTTTAATTTTTAATACGCTCATAATTATGAAGCTCTGGCCAATGAAATCCAATGCCAAAGAACACATTGACTTTATTATATTTTTTAATTATATGTTTTCTTTGTATTTATGACATTTATGTGTTTTGTTTACTTTCTTTACGTTTTGTAAATATATTTCTCTGTGTGTATGCAATTTGAAAAAAAAATGCCAAATAATTTTATTATTTTGAAACATTTTTGTTTATTTTTTATTAATACATTATGACTATAAAAAAATAAGAAAATAAATTATGGGAAAATGACAAGTTATGGAAGGTGTTTGTCGATTTAAAATAGGTGGTGCCCGCCACCCTACCGATATTTTAGAATGTGCTCTAGAGTAAAAAAAGGTTGGGAACCCCTGGTATAGAGGGATAGGCCTATATGCCTATTATTTATTATATAATATTTAGTTTATCCTAGGAGCTAGGACTAGCTTCTACAGAGATCTAGTAGTACTGTAGTAGAGTAGTAGCTAGGCTAAGAAATTACTAAATAATAATTAATTATTCAAGACTAAGGGCAAGGGATAAGACTTGAGTAATATATGATCTAAATTCTAAATCTGATCTAGATCTAGAGTCTAGATTTATAAATTTTAGTTAAGACTAGTTTTTAAAAATAAACCAGGAGTGATCTCCCCTCTAAACTTTCTCGAATATTCTTATATGAAACAATAGGGGATGGCAACTCGGGATATAGACATGGTTTTTAATCCATTTTAAATACTTAAACTTTTAAAAATAGAATGAAATCTCGTAGAAAAAAGAATTGCACACCAAGTGAATGCCTAATAAAATGTGCATAATAGTGCAGAATATTATTAGTACTTTATAAATTCACATGTGTTTTTTGAGAAATCGGAAATAGCGAAAATTACTACTTCCAATAAAAATTTGACAGAAGACAAAGAATTAGATCTTTTACTTACACGTGAAATTTCATTTATCTATCTTAAATAGTATTCAAGTTATAGGCTTTTTGAAAAATTGAAAGTAGAAAAAGTTCCACTATCAAAAATTGCTCAAAAGTTGATACAGATCTACGATTTTTATATAATACTTATATATGAAATTTCATCAACCAAGCTGTAACGGTACGCAAGTTATTGTGTTTACACACAGACACACATACACACACACAGACATACAGACAAGATTGCAAAACTATGTTTTTCCGACTCAGGGAGCCCTAAAATGTTGAGAAAGTAAAAAGTGTTGGCCTAATCCGTAAGCCTAATAAATAATTTAAATATTAATAAGCCTATAAATATAATATGGACAATTATAGCTGGAAAAAGATGTGCATGCAAATACCTGGTTTTTCTTGTCATTTACATGTTTGCTGTTTACAATGTTTAGGCCTATCTATCTATATATATAATTCTCTTCTTCGAGCCGTTAGAAAACAAGCTGCAAACGCTCTCCCTACCTCCCCACCCCTACATGGTTTTAGTGAGCTGTGTTCACTCTAAATGTTTACAAGTAGAGCCAACGATTTTAAACGTAGGGGGGGGGGGGGGGGAAGGAGGGGGGTGGGGGTTATGGTCCTTAACGAGCTACTTATAGTGTTTTAAAGAAATATTTTCAGTGTCAGCGTTGGTACTGTCGAATTCACAAATTATGAATTATTGAAAATTAGAAACAACTAAATAGCGGCGTATGTTATGCCGCGGGCCGGCTCGTATGTCTTAATTGGCTTAATGGGACAGGGATTATCACGATAAATACTTAAATAGTAGATTTGAATAAGCTATTAAAATAGACCAGCCACTGTTGTTTCCCTAACGTAAGTCAGGTACCCATTGGACTAGCATCCAAACGTTCTACCATTCGACCAAGCTGCCCTATAATGTAAAATCAGTAAATTAGCCAAAATAAAATAATAATATTCAATATTGTCTGTAGTTGCTAGTAATAGTAACAACTGTTAGAACATTAGTAATAGTAGAATAGTTAGTAGTTACTTCATAGGTGAGGTGATCTCTTTTTGTTTTTTAGTTTTTGTTTAGTAAAATGTTTAAAATTAATACATTCTATTAGGGCCTAAATACTATAGCCTACATAACAACCTATTTTTCCTAATCTTAACTATACAGGAAGCTAATTCATGTAGTTCTAAAAATAGAAACAGTAAGGTCTACAAAATTCCTACAAGAATGAAATTTCTAGTCAAGCTCAACCAACTATGAAGATGTTGAATATATTTCACACTTAAAATACTCAATGTTTACTGAGCTCAGAAAATATTTTAGAAAAAAATTGATGTTTTAATAAACAAATACTGCAAGTTTGACATCATTTAGCGACAGACACCAGAGGCGTAGCGACCCTTCCTGGCGCCCGGGGACAAACTTTTCATTTGCACACCCCCCTCGAACTTTTCATTTGCACCCCCCCCCCCCCTCAAACTTTCGATTTGCACCCCCCCCCCCCCCTCAAACTTTCAATTTGGCGCCCCCCCCTAAGGTCGGCGCCCGTGGACATATGTCGTTCCCCCCCCCCCCTCGCTACGCCTCTGACAGACACACATTTCATGTTGTTTTTTATTTACTTAGATGGGATAACATGCTGTTACTGAAAGCACACCACAAAGGATATCTGTCATTTTGTTAATTAAGAGAGCAGGAATAATAAAGCATATTTTATACTGTCATAAATATGAAAAATCAAACAAGGATTATTTTATGTATTCCTAAAAGAAATATTCTTGAAATGAAATATATTGCTTTTATTTTTACAAGAACATTGGCCATTTTATTTACAAAATTCCAAATCTTATTTCAGGCAGTAAAAACTACTATTCTTTTATAATAGAATATTCATTATCAGTTTCATTGTGTTTCTTGATTAATAAAAATAATGTGTTAATCAGATAATTAGATGCTCTATTTAAGCAACTTCTTTTCAATTTAGGCTGTGAAATCATCCTTGCAAAATGTCTCACTTGGGTCTTCTGCCTATTTCACTGGTGCTGTTGGCTATGATCACAATAGGTGTGTCTTATATTATTGCTGTGATCCGAAATGATGTTAGTGCAGCTTTTCCATATATTAGGTAAACATTTTTCTTTGATTTTATATCTTCAAGTATCTGCAATACAATGTTATTAACATGGAGCTAGATGCTTTTATTAAACAAAAATAATTTGGATGTATTAAATGTTAAATAGAACGATGTTGAAAATAGTAAATTTAAAAATATAGATTACCTATAGAAGAATACACATTGATGTATTGAAATTGATTTCAGTGACACAGGTTCTGAGAGACCAGAGAGTTGTATATTTGGGCAGTTTTTAAATATAGCAGCTTTCTTAGGTAAGTGTTTAAAATGTGTTCAATATAGCAGCTTTCTTAGGTAAGTGTTTAAAATGTGTTCCATACAGCAGCTTTCTAAGGTAAGTTTCAAATGTGTTTAATATAACAGCTTTCTTAGGCAAGAGTTTGAAATGTATTAAATATAGCACATATCATAATCAAGTCATCATCACTGCCCATCACCCCTGCTGAGCTATGGGCAGCCAACCAAACATATTCAGAGTCCTCTATCCTGTGCCATCCTCTCAACCTGACTCCAGGTGTAACCCATCTTTGTGGTGTCAGCCTCAATCACCTGGTGTTTATTGGTCAACCTCTTTCGCGCTTTCTTTTAGGGTTCCACTTCAGTGCCTGCATGGTGATATTGGTTGGTGGTCTGCGCAGTGTGTGCACTATCCAACTTCATCTTCTGTTCCTATTTTTCTCCTCACTGGCAAGTTGCCCTGTTGTTTCCCATAGGTGAATGTTGCTGATGGTGTCGGGATTCTGATCTTAAACAAATATTTAGCATTTAAGATGCTCTAGAAATTTTATAACCATCCCAAATACTAATGTTAATCTTTTCAGCATTTTGCACCATGTATGTCCGTTACAAAGCTGTAGAGGCCATAGCCCATGGTTCTGAAGATGATCCAAAGCTGTGCAGGCTAAACAAATGTGCCACCTTTTTTGGGATGGTAGCAGCTTTAGGTGTCTCCATGGTTGCCAATTTTCAAGTAATTTTTTTCTTAATTTTTATTTTCTTTAAAAGCTTTTCAAATTAGTTTTTTTGTAAACTTTAAATGAATTTCCTTTCTTTGAAACTTTTCAAAATTGTTTTACTGAATATGTAATGATTTTATGTGAAGATTTTTAAATTTAGAATATAATATTATTATTTGTCTCTTTATTTTACCACAAATTATTTTGAAAAATTTAATTATTTACAACATGTTTTGTCACATTTTAGTTTTCCCTTTCAAGTTATTAGTATGTCCTAGTTATATTAAAAACAGAAAAATGAGAATAAGACAAGATTTTAACTTAAGTCAGGTGCTAGAGGGACTGGCTACTGATAGTAACCAAAGCCTCACACCTTTTGGAATGACTTAAGTCAGGTGCTAGAGGGACTGGCAGTCTGACAGTAACCAAAGCCTTACTGCAGACTTTTGGGTTGACTTAAGTCAGGTGCTGGGTGGACTGGCTGACAGTAACCAAAGCCTTACTTCAGGCTTTTGGGTTGACTTAAGTCAGGTGCTAGAGGGACTGGCTGGGGACAGTAACCAAAGCCTTATTCCAAACTTTTGGGATGACTTAAGTCATGTGCTAGATGTGGCAGTCTTCACATTTTCATGATCACAGTAAACTGATAATAATTGTTTTAATTATGTTATCTTTTAACTTAACCCAGGAAGGCACCAATGTTGAAATAGTGCATATTATAGGAGCCGGCCTAACCTTTGTGCCAGGTGTGTTGTATTGTTTAGTACAAACAGCCTTATCCTACCACATGTTCCCCTCCTACAACGGCTCCTACATTTGTAGAATACGCCTTGCTCTGAGCGTTGTTTCTTTGCTTAGTCTTATTCTTAGTATCCTTTTTACATTTATAATAAAGATGGAAGCTATGAAACAAACATTATCTAGAAAAATTTTAACATTTCACCATCTGCCAGTGACCTTTATAGACATTTTGAAATATTTTGTGAAAGGGTATCAAAAGAGGCATTATATTTGTTTCATAATTTATTTGATGAGACCACATATATTTTGTTACATTTCATAAGCCCTGAATTTTACTGCTAAACAGTCTGTTTCTTCTTTTTTTTACAATAAATACAATTTTAGTTTCAATATTATGTCAGAAAAAAGCATACTGTTTTGATTAGTTACCAGTTTTTTATAAGAAAAAATTATTTTTGTTAACATCAAGGATGGAAAGTTTAGAAATAACCAACTAGTGTGTCTACAAGTTTGCTAACTGGCAAGACAGATCAGTGCCTTTGTCACTGTAGTTATGTCTTGTCTCTGGCTCTTGTCCTTTGTAAACCATTACAACAGTGGGGAACCTATTTAACATTTAAAATATGTCATGACTTCATGTGCTCAGCATGCAGATTCCTTAACCATAGTACAGCAATAGTAGCAGCAGTATTTGCCATACATGAATGGAACTCAAAAGAACACACTCCTGACAAATTCAAATGGGCACCTGATGATCCAGTAAGTTGATTTGATTTTCTTTTCACCCTATCAAAAAGAAAAACATTTCTGGCAGCCACTAATTTATTATAAAAATAACGTCTGTAGCAAACCTTATAAAAATTTAACAGTTCTACGTATGTTTACTAAGGGCATTTCCCCATTGATTTTATTTTTCCAAGCCTACATACCTACTTCAAATGCAAAAATATGTATGAAAATGTCAATTTTCACTTAAAACTAAAATAGTATTTGGTTAATAAAATGTTATTGTATGGATAGAAAAAATCAAAAAACAAATTATAATAAATTGGAAATCAAACTAAGTTTGCTCCACCTTCTTTAAGTTGGAGACAAGTATACACATAATCAAATTCTCGACCTTGGATTTATGGGTCGATGCATTTTCACAATACTTTTCTTTTTCTGTAAAAGGTAAATAAAAACTGTTAAAAATGTGTTTAAATGTTTCAAGAATTATTTCAACTTTTCAGGGTTATGCCGCCCACATTGTGAGCACCTCCGGTGAGTGGGTCACAGCCTTCACCTTTTTGTCCTTCTTCTTCACCTATGTGCAAGAGTTCAACAAATTTGAACTAGAGATACGAACCCGCCCCCTTGTTAGACACCTGGATGAGCGTGTTGAAACTCGTAACAGAGGGGAAATCAATGAGAGAACTAAGCTGTTGGACCCCCACATTTGAGGCTGGGAGTAGGAGGATAATTTGTATGTTCAGTGATTCAGTTCTAGCCAAATTTCACACAACAGTTCCATATTAAATTATCTGAGGACAAATTTTCCAGACAAATTATTTCAAAACAATTAATATCTTCCTTAATGCTGTAGTTATTTTTTGTCCATATCTTTTGTCCTGAGATCTTTTGTCCACAGATATTTTGTCTCTTGAGATCATTTGTCAATGATGCAGATATTTTGTCTGGGACATTTTGTCAGAGATCATTTTATCCTGCCACCCACAGAACACTTTATTTTAATACCATTGAACCAGGCAGTGATAGGTCATTACATAAATATTTTTTTAGCTAACACATGCAACTGCATTTATGTCATCTTTTTATATTTTACAGTCTGTTCCTTATGTACTTTATTAGATGCTATAGATAACTCATTTGTAAACTTTTAAAAATCATTATTTAAACACCATGAAACAAAAACATGAAATGATGTTGAAACCTTAGATTTTTTTTTCAAAATAAACAAAAACAAATCTAACAGTTCACACCTTTTTTATTTTCAAAAATTAGATAAGACAAAATAGAGTAGGGCTAATTTTGTAGGCTACTTACAAAGATGAAACAAGATACATATTTTAACACAATTTTTTTCTATTTTCACTATCAAAGACTGTCAGTTTCTAATTTAATATTTTTACCATGATTACAATACTTCCTCTATACTCTGTTCACAAAAAAGTAACTCATTCAGGTCAAAAATTGACAATATTAAAACATTTATTGTCACTATCTTATTAGACATTCCATTTGTAAAATATTTTTGGGTCTAAAGCTTTTACAGTTTTGTGTATTTTAATACGTTTGTTATTATCTGAAACATTTTAGAATACAAGACAAAGCACTAACAGTAATACACACATGCATGTGTTACTTAACTCTTAATTTTACTAAACTTAAGCATTTATAGAATTTTTCTGTCACAATAGTTTAACTTCTGTATCTGTGTTTAGCAATTTCAAACTATGTTGTTAATTTTTTTTAAATTTAAGTTAAGAATTGTATCACATTTACCATGTTGACACTTATGTTGAATGTCTGCTTTTATTGATTTGTCTCCCTTGCAATTGAACAATGCATGAGTTTATCTCCCCATCTTTTCAAAATATTGTGAATGACACTTGAAATTTCATACAAATTTTACTACTTATTTTTATCTTCTAATTTTTTGCCTGTTATTTATTTTGACACATTTCGTTACTTATTTTAAATGTTATAAACCAAAATACATAATTACATATTGTAAAAAAATAAAACTATTGTATTTGTTTGAAACTGTTGTTAAATTAGTCAACTGAAAGTTTTTAAAAATTAGAATGAGAATTTTTACATTATTTTGATTCGGATTTTCTTTAATCTATATTCAGCCTTGAAAAAAATCATTTTCATACCCCATCTTCCTTAATCCTGTGAAACTCCATGAGTAGCATTGGGCTGTGACTACTCTCTTGAACTGACTTGATTTAGCTATCTTTAGCTGGGGCCATGTAAGCCACACAACCCTTGCTTCATTTTCATCAGTCCTACTCCAGGATTGTCTAAGTCTACCTACTTTTCTTTTTCCCTGTAGGTTCCAGTCTAGTATTGTCATGTTCAAGTTCAAATGTTTTTAGTTGTTTATTTTAATTATACATATGTTGATGGTTTTTTGGTTAACCTAAAAGATCTTGTTTTTTTTTCTAATAATTTTATGAAGCTTATTATTCAAGTTTTTGTTTTTAGTACTTAATGTTGGAATTAAATAATGATTAGAGATATTATAAATAATAAATATATGTTTAAATAAAAAATTATACAAAGCTCAGCCAATAAGAAAGCAAAGATGCATGTGCCACAGGCTAATATTTTATAGTTTTATTATCTAGATCACTTGTAAATGCTTGATATCATTAGTTTAAAAGCTTTTTCATATTTTAACCCCACAGCCTGCTTTGTAAGGTAAAATATGCTATTCAGTTATTTTTTTTTATTAGTGTTCAGTTTCTTTTAAACTTATTTTCATGAAACCGTGAAATTGTATTATTTTGTTTTTTAAACACTAGGGTATTGTTCTTAGATATGTAAGTACTTTTTTTAATAATCCTATAATATGTAAATTAAAGAAAACTGTGTTTCTATCTCATAAATTATGTCCATTATAAATAATTAAAATGTTTTAAACTGTTGATCAAAAGTAAATTTTATTTCTGCAATTTTGTATGTGACATTCTACTTTTTATTTTGCAGTAGTTTAAGTCATAATGATGTACAGGTAATTGGCTTATAATTCACATGTGTTTTGTGTATTGATTTGATGCATGAAGTGATTTTACATTCGGATTTAGTTTTTGCTAATATACTGATGACTATTACTTCTTTACCAAAATGCCATGCTAAATGTGATAATTTCAGCATAGTTAAACAAGGATTTATTTTATACGGGATCCTCAGTACTGGTAAGGGTATTTAAATAATTTTGAAAATTGTACACTCGTAAAATATAGATGTGACAAAGAAAATGTTGATGTTTCCCATTAACATTTAACAGGTGATTAAAGTGTGTGTATAAAAATGTGTAGTCTTAATTGTTTTTTTTTGTTTATGGTAATATAATAATGTGAACAATTTGCTATGTCTGTTGTTTTTTTTAACTTATTAAAACTGTTTTAAAGTAAGGTTGTTTTATTTTGTAGATGAGCCTTAGGAATATCTAGATTGTACTTGCATCATTTTCAATGTTACTTTATCCCTGATATGCCTAGGAATTAATCATCAATCTAAGTAATCATAGTTGCCTTTGAAAAAAAAAATGTTCACATTTAAATGACTAGACTGAGTAGTATGCTTAATTAAGACTGTGAGACATCACAGGGTCCACACAGTGAGTGGATACCTGGAAATAGTTGGGAGAATAAAGGTGGGGGGGGGGGCACAGTGTTGACCACACAATCTCCATAATATACTATAGGGTGTAAAAGTACTATTTAAAGATTTTAACTTCAGGAACCAACAATAAATAACACCCAAAACAGCATTTGTTTTCTTTTTCTAGAAACTTGTAATGAATATTTATTAACAATCAATAAATCAGGTACTTTCAAAGACATGTTGAAGTAAGTTGATTTGAAATAAATAAATAGAAAAATACTTATAAAAACTTTGTACTTATATAAGCTACAGCATCAATAAGAACTAACAACAGTTATCACCTAGGTTAATTCAACAGCCACAGTGGGGTAGGAGGGGGGGGGGGGGTGGGGGTGGCAGCAGTCAGTATGTAAGTACAGCTTTTCTCATTATTACTACATTCAATAACCATTGCCATAAGATGAATTAGAAATCACTTGATATCACCAATATCTGATAGCATTACAAGCTATATATAGATCACAGAATTATTTTGTTGCTGACATTTAGAACTTAGCACAAGGTAAAAAAAACTTGATAAAATTTATAGCATCTAAATCTAAAACAACCAGCTTTATCACAAATATTGACTGATTTAACAAATCACATCAGAATAAAATTAAAATAAAATGTCTTGTATACATGAATACATACATATTAAGAAGTGATTAAATAACTCCTTGACTAGCAATTAACTATGTAATAATGTGGTTTACTCTGTTTACTATAAAACTATATTAAGTATATGAAAATATATATTAAGCTTGAATCATGGAATGTCATTCTGGAATGATCTTTTGTAGATTACAACATGCTGCACAAACTTGCTTGACATAAATATCCTTGTGTCATTAGAAATAGGTGCTGAGGAAAAATGTAATGACATGATCAAAACTCATAAGGAAATATGAAATATTATGACCTTTACTTATACATTATGCAAAAAATGTTATGCCTCTAAATAAATAAACCAAAAATTTGCTTCATTTTAAGAAACTTAATTTATTTTTCTATGTATATTCTGTTTTAATTAATAATTAAAATTTACTTTGAGCTGAAGAATATTAGCTGCAGGATTAATTTGGACACTTAAGACCTGCTAAAAACCTATTTGTGGGTTTTTAACCTTAGTCTGATAACTAAACTCAAAAAGCTTCAAATCTCAAATGGCATCTCATTTTTTTATTTACTTTGTTGATCAGACTTACTTCTATCCATTTACAATTTCTTATTGCAATTTAAAATATGAATCTATGATCATAAATAATATACATTAATATTTATCAGGCATAAATAAGACAATTAAAAAACAAACTTACACACTGTCTTCATCATTGACTAGAGTTGTTTCACAATAGTATAACTCCACTCTGTCCTGTAAAAAATAAGGTAATATTTTTATCTACAATTAGTCTGTTAGATTACTGTGTCAGCTTCTGATTGGATGACAACTGATGTCTAAAGCAGTCCAACATTCAAGAAAACTGAGTTTTGCAATTTAGGAAATAATCATGGGGTCTAAGTAAATTAATATTTAAATAATTTTTTTGTTATTATTTATTTTGTAGTTTGACGATTGCTTTTGGATTGAATTATCTATGAAACCAAGGGTTTCGATGTTTACTTTAATTTTTATTTCCAATTCATGACATTTTTTCAACAATTCAAATAAAAGCACACTATTCTTAGTGTGTAATTAAGCATGACTCAGCATAAGCAATGCAAATGATGAAACATATCTGAACTAAAATGAGCTCTCACTGATTTTAAATGTGACTTGTTACCCATCAGCCATTGAAAGAGACCACAAATTGCTAAAATACTAAAAGTCTATCTACTTATCCACTACGCTCTATTCCAAATAAAATGATGAAATGGTTGTAACAGCTGGAGCAGCAACAAGAAATAAAACCACTTGTGTGAATCCGGTCCAAGAAACCATTAACTTACCCTGGCTGTGTTAGTAGCATCGTTAATGATTCGCTCTGCCTGAGAACTTGTCACATTGACTAAACTTTGTCCGTTGATCATCATCAGCTGGTCCCCTGCTCGAATTTGACCTGCCAATTAAGATCTACAATTAGCAGGTGACAGTAATGGAATACTACGGATAGGTGTCTTACAAGGGATGCATTTCCTATAGTTAGTCCAATTATACTATTTATATTATTTATTTGTAAGTGTTTGAATTCTGAATCCATAAAAAGTCTAAAATATTAAAAACGGTTAGAAGTATGAAATTTGAATAGGCAAAAATTCTAAAATATTAAGAATTATAAGTGGTATGAAATTTGAATTCGCAAAGTCTAAAAAATTCAGGGGAAATAACATTTGGAGATACATCTAAGTCTGAACAAACAAATTATCTCAGACTTAACAGACTCACCACTCATTTGAGCCACACCACCTTCAAACACCACAGCAACAAGAATCTTCCCACCCAGGGGTGAACCTATGCCACCTTCAATGTCAACACCAAGGTCTAGTGTCTTGTGGATTAAAAAAACAGTGAAAAAATTGATCCAAAATTTCTGCTTTTATGAATACTAACTATATCACTAAGCTTTAGTTATACTCTCTTGTAAAGTCTTACCCTGTTGTATATTAATCCTTTCAGTGGTCTCCCTTCTAATTCTTCCAAGCTGAACTAAAAATGTGAGACAAGAGCATTTTATGAATGTTAAAATGTTTACAAATAAAAAGTAATTTTGTTGATTTTGTGAGCTGATATTGATTTCTTATAAACCAACCGACAAAAGTAATAAGTCAAAGTAATGTAAACTTCACTGTCATCCTTAGAGTTAGTAGGTAAGATTTATTTGATTTTAAGTTGACTTGTGCTAACTAGATATCAATTAACATTAATTAAAGCTGACTGATTTTAAAGTACACAAGTAAAGTTGATATTAAAATATGAATGAGTTACTCACACACTGGTAAACATGACTGGGCACCTTGCTGATCCATCCAAACTCCTCAGGTGGCCCTAGAATACCTGGCAAGTTGTTGGCCTGATGGCTCAACCTGCGCTCAGCAAGGACAGCAGCAGCGCCCCCTAGTGGGGCAGACTCTATAGAATCTGGTCGGGTGTACATTCTTGTGGCAGGGGGGGTAACATGAACTTCTGCCTTTGTGTTGAGGACAGGGGTAGTGGAGGGTCTAGAGGATTCTGTGTAGCTGTACGGTGCCACTGAATTGCCTTCAATCAAACGTTTCCTTGCTGCAAAAAAAAAAACCAAAAAAACAAGTAATTAATAATTGAATCTAACTTTGTTTCCTGTATACTTTGTAAACCAGTACTTAATGTAACTTTTATTCCACACAAACAATTAAAAATGTGTAATAAGCAAAAATTTACCTTAAAGCATATTTTTAAAACAAAACAAAAACAGCCAATGGATATAAAATCCTAAAATGTTTTTTAAGTTAGTTTAGTTTTTTTTCCTGTAAACACAAAATGTAAAAAAAAAATAATTTTAAGGACAATGTAGTTTTCACAATGTTAATGTAAATTGTGAAAACAAGGAAAAAAACAGCCAGACAATTCATACACAGAAAACCTCGAGCCCTACCCAGCTCTTGCTGAACAAGCTGCAGCTCATCAAGACGGATGTTGTGGTTCCAAAGTTTAGATTCCCTGTAAAGACAGTTTGGTTACTTTGTAATACAAATAGAATAAAATGGTAGTCTTATACTACAGTACTAAATGGTGACTGAAAATATAGCTCTAATTAAATGAGTTCTGTTTAGTAACATGCTAAATTATACAGTAAAATATCTAAATATTACATTACTAAATTACTCAAATTGATGTATAATTGACATTTTGGGTTCTAGCTCCAATTTAAGTATGATACACTACATTAAAATGGAAAAATATAATTCTCAATACCAAAATGTGTTTATGTTAATTGTATTAATAAACAGTGCTAACCCTTTAGAGTCCTATGTATCTAAAAGAAGTATGTGAGGACCCCACTTGCAAAACCTGATATGTCCACTTTTGAAAAAAATAAGTTACTCTTATAGCCTTCTTAATTAAGCGGTAATTAAAGTAGCATACTAACATTTGTTTAAAAAAAAGTATACATTAAAATAAATTATGTAATAGTAAAATATCGAAAATCCTAAGCATATTTAACAAAAAAATAATTGAAAAATCGATTTCCTCAAAATCAACCAGATGTGACTATCTGGTTTTGCAAGCAGACTTCTCATGTTGTCTTTAAATTATAAAGAAATAATTTTACTGTTTAAACTGATATAGTTACAAAGTAATATTTCTAGTTGTTTTTATAAAATGTAACCACTGATAAAACATAAATTGAAACTAAAAATAAATTGAATGTTCTAAAACTATGAACAGACAAAGTGGGAAAAAAATGTATGTTCTATCAACAAAATCCAATGCTGCTACTTTCAGTGCAATAAACTACGCAGTGTGGTGATAAAAAAACTCAATTCAGGAAATACAATTTTATACAATGCAGGTAAAACAAAGACTTTATATAATAGCAGGGGTATAATAGATATTTAACCTTTAATCAGGTAACAACAAAGGTACTGGTTCTACACAGCAAATACTTTACCCAGAATGCATATTTTAAAGATGGCCACACAATTCACTTGGACTACTGAGTATCATGGGTTGCAATTCTTTTAATTAGATTTGCTTGTTAATTGTTAAGATCAAACTTCAGCAGTCACCATTAGATATCAGTTAATTTCAATACTGCCATCCACATTGAATCCACAATGAATGAAAAGTTTATGAAATTCTTCTCTGTTGGTACTGAGTTATGAGAATTCTCTTCGGTGCTCAAATGATTCTCCTACCTCCTAGCACAATTCTACAGATGAAGAGTTGTAATTCCCACTTGCCTTTAAGCCATGAATTAAACACTGAACATCTTGGATCAGCAGATTACAGTTTTTTTTCCTTTTACAATGTTATCAACATACTTTTTTTTACAATGTTATCAACATACTTTTTTTACAATGTTGTCAAGATGCTTTTTTTTACAATGGTACAATTTCATGCAGCATGCAAACATTCATTCTTTAGACATTTTAAAAGAAGGAAAGTATTTAGATTGAGGTTAAGAGAGTATTTGATATCTGTAAACCAGTTTTAACAGTGCTAAATTGCTTCTTCGTTTAGTGAATAGTTACAAAACAAATTTTAATAGAATAATTAGTTGTTTTTTTTTACATAACATTCCAGTGGAGTTTTTATAGTTAGGCTGAGGGTAGAGAACTTAAATATTTACAAAATCACAATAATAGACATTTTTAGATTTCTACAACATTCAATTTCTAGACAAATATACCCTTATAGAGATTTAGAAATCATTCATTTTAACACAAGTTACATGCCTATTGTATTTTTTTAAATAATAAAAATAACAAATGTATTTTCTAATAATAGCTTATGACACTGGCAGTGAACATGTTTACAATATTTCCAAATGAGTGATAGAGAAAGCTGATAAATATGTGATTTGTGATACAAAGTAATGTGTGAAAGTTTATAACAGCCAAGCAGTGATTGTTGAGGATTTAAAATAACCTTTTGGATCATAGAGTATCTACTCGTATAAAAACTTCATATTTTAACTAAATAAAAATAACATACTTTGTTTAAGTTAAACCCAAATATAATGTTAAGACTATAAATCTGAACTAATCAGATAATGTAGTTTTACAGGTTAAAAGAATGTTAATTTAGTTTTGCTGCTTTGCATAAGACAAGAATTGAAAACAGAACTCCTTGTCCAAGCTTTCTATCACAAGATGGCCCTCAGCAACATAGTGATATAATTGTTGTTTAATGAACAAAATATTTGCCTTTTTATTCAAATAAATAATTTGATTGCGCAAAAAGCGTGAATCTGTGCCAACATACAAATACAATTGTAATATAAATTCAATATTTAAACATTTTAAATACTTTTCGTGTATGTTTTTTGTTTCATTGTTTCTCTTAAAAATGAGCTCTATCCTATTAGTTTAATTACATCTAATTATGAAACATTGTTTTTAGAAAGAATTTTGGTGTGTAAAAGATAATAGGATTGAACAGATTAAACAAAAGAATTGTTCCCTCTGCACTGTGTGAAACAACCAGACTATTCAGATGATGTTTTACCATCTGTCCCCGGATCATTCTGATCCTGGAGATTTCTGCAGGTGTTTTTTTACTTTCATGGATTCAAGTTTCTTCCTCTGCTCTTTCACCAAATCTTCAAAATACTGAATCTTAGACCTGAAGCCGTACCTTCTCTCCTCCACCTCTGGGGGCGGGGACTCCAGCGGGGGCGTCAGGCTCCGGAAATTGTTGCTGTTGTTGGGGGAGAAGTCCCTGAGGCTCTCCTGTCTGTCATTGCGGTAGGACGAGCCCAGGTCAATGCTGGGTCTGGTGGAGACTGAGTTGTAGCTGATGACGCTCTCCCTGCGGTTGCCGCTGGTCAGGCGCTGTAGCTGCTGGGAACCCTGGGAAATTTATTTAAAATTATTTTTATTGGTCAGGCGCTGCAGCTGCTGCGAATCTTGGGAAATTTATTTAAAATTATTTTTATTGGTCAGTCGCTGGAGCTACTGGGAAATTTATTTAAAATTATTTTTATTTGTCAGTCGCTGGAGCTGCTGGGAATCTTGGGAAATTTATTTAAAATTATTTTTATTGGTCAGGCGCTGCAGCTGCTGGGAATCTTGGGAAATTTATTTAAAATTATTTTTATTGGTCAGGCGCTGCAGCTGCTGGGAATCTTGGGAAATTTATTTAAAATTATTTTTATTGGTCAGGCGCTGCAGCTGCTGGGAATCTTGGGAAATTTATTTAAAATTATTTTTATTTGTCAGTCGCTGGAGCTGCTGGGAAATTTATTTAAAATTATTTTTATTGGTCAGTCGCTGGAGCTGCTAGGAACCCTGGGAAATTTATTTAAAATTATTTTTATTGGTCAGGCGGTGCAGCTGCTGGGAATCTTGGGAAATTTATATAAAATTATTTTTATTTGTCAGTCGTTGGAGCTGCTGGGAAATTTATTTAAAATTATTTTTATTGGTCAGTCGCTGCAGCTGCTGGGAATCTTGGGAAATTTATTTAAAATTATTTTTATTGGTCAGGCGCTGCAGCTGCTGGGAATCTTGGGAAATTTATTTAAAATTATTTTTATTGGTCAGTCGCTGGAGCTGATGGGAAATTTATTTAAAATTATTTTTATTGGTCAGGCGCTGCAGCTGCTGGGAATCTTGGGAAATTTATTTAAAATTATTTTTATTTGTCAGTCGATGGAGCTGCTGGGAAATTTATTTAAAATTATTTTTATTGGTCAGGCGCTGCAGCTGCTGGGAATCTTGGGAAATTTATTTAAAATTATTTTTATTTGTCAGTCGCTGGAGCTGCTGGGAAATTTATTTAAAATTATTTTTATTGGTCAGGCGCTGCAGCTGCTGGGAATCTTGGGAAATTTATTTAAAATTATTTTTATTGGTCAGGCGCTGCAGCTGCTGGGAATCTTGGGAAATTTATTTAAAATTATTTTTATTGGTCAGGCGCTGCAGCTGCTGGGAATCTTGGGAAATTTATTTAAAATTATTTTTATTGGTCAGGCGCTGCAGCTGCTGGGAATCTTGGGAAATTTATTTAAAATTATTTTTATTGGTCAGGCGCTGCAGCTGCTGGGAATCTTGGGAAATTTATTTAAAATTATTTTTATTGGTCAGGCGCTGCAGCTGCTGGGAATCTTGGGAAATTTATTTAAAATTATTTTTATTGGTCAGGCGCTGCAGCTGCTGGGAATCTTGGGAAATTTATTTAAAATTATTTTTATTGGTCAGGCGCTGCAGCTGCTGGGAATCTTGGGAAATTTATTTAAAATTATTTTTATTTGTCAGTCGCTGGAGCTGCTGGGAAATTTATTTAAAATTATTTTTATTGGTCAGGCGCTGCAGCTGCTGGGAACCCTGGGAAATTTATTTAAAATTATTTTTATTTGTCAGTCGCTGGAGCTGCTGGGAAATTTATTTAAAATTATTTTTATTGGTCAGGCGCTGCAGCTGCTGGGAACCCTGGGAAATTTATTTAAAATTATTTTTATTGGTCAGGCGCTGCAGCTGCTGGGAACCTTGGGAAATTTATTTAAAATTATTTTTATTGGTCAGGCGCTGCAGCTGCTGGGAATCTTGGGAAATTTATTTAAAATTATTTTTATTGGTCAGTCGCTGCAGCTGCTGGGAACCCTGGGAAATTTATTTAAAATTATTTTTATTGGTCAGGCGCTGCAGCTGCTGGGAAATTTATTTAAAATTATTTTTATTGGTCAGGCGCTGCAGCTGCTGGGAATCTTGGGAAATTTATTTAAAATTATTTTTATTGGTCAGTCGCTGGAGCTGATGGGAAATTTATTTAAAATTATTTTTATTGGTCAGGCGCTGCAGCTGCTGGGAATCTTGGGAAATTTATTTAAAATTATTTTTATTTGTCAGTCGATGGAGCTGCTGGGAAATTTATTTAAAATTATTTTTATTGGTCAGGCGCTGCAGCTGCTGGGAATCTTGGGAAATTTATTTAAAATTATTTTTATTTGTCAGTCGCTGGAGCTGCTGGGAAATTTATTTAAAATTATTTTTATTGGTCAGGCGCTGCAGCTGCTGGGAATCTTGGGAAATTTATTTAAAATTATTTTTATTGGTCAGGCGCTGCAGCTGCTGGGAATCTTGGGAAATTTATTTAAAATTATTTTTATTGGTCAGGCGCTGCAGCTGCTGGGAATCTTGGGAAATTTATTTAAAATTATTTTTATTGGTCAGGCGCTGCAGCTGCTGGGAATCTTGGGAAATTTATTTAAAATTATTTTTATTGGTCAGGCGCTGCAGCTGCTGGGAATCTTGGGAAATTTATTTAAAATTATTTTTATTGGTCAGGCGCTGCAGCTGCTGGGAATCTTGGGAAATTTATTTAAAATTATTTTTATTGGTCAGGCGCTGCAGCTGCTGGGAATCTTGGGAAATTTATTTAAAATTATTTTTATTGGTCAGGCGCTGCAGCTGCTGGGAATCTTGGGAAATTTATTTAAAATTATTTTTATTTGTCAGTCGCTGGAGCTGCTGGGAAATTTATTTAAAATTATTTTTATTGGTCAGGCGCTGCAGCTGCTGGGAACCCTGGGAAATTTATTTAAAATTATTTTTATTTGTCAGTCGCTGGAGCTGCTGGGAAATTTATTTAAAATTATTTTTATTGGTCAGGCGCTGCAGCTGCTGGGAACCCTGGGAAATTTATTTAAAATTATTTTTATTGGTCAGGCGCTGCAGCTGCTGGGAACCTTGGGAAATTTATTTAAAATTATTTTTATTGGTCAGGCGCTGCAGCTGCTGGGAATCTTGGGAAATTTATTTAAAATTATTTTTATTGGTCAGGCGCTGCAGCTGCTGGGAATCTTGGGAAATTTATTTAAAATTATTTTTATTTGTCAGTCGCTGGAGCTGCTGGGAAATTTATTTAAAATTATTTTTATTGGTCAGGCGCTGCAGCTGCTGGGAATCTTGGGAAATTTATTTAAAATTATTTTTATTGGTCAGGCGCTGCAGCTGCTGGGAATCTTGGGAAATTTATTTAAAATTATTTTTATTTGTCAGTCGCTGGAGCTGCTGGGAAATTTATTTAAAATTATTTTTATTGGTCAGGCGCTGCAGCTGCTGGGAACCCTGGGAAATTTATTTAAAATTATTTTTATTTGTCAGTCGCTGGAGCTGCTGGGAAATTTATTTAAAATTATTTTTATTTGTCAGTCGCTGGAGCTGCTGGGAAATTTATTTTAAATTATTTTTATTGGTCAGGCGCTGCAGCTGCTGGGAATCTTGGGAAATTTATTTAAAATTATTTTTATTTGTCAGTCGCTGGAGCTGCTGGGAAATTTATTTAAAATTATTTTTATTGGTCAGGCGCTGCAGCTGCTGGGAACCCTGGGAAATTTATTTAAAATTATTTTTATTTGTCAGTCGCTGGAGCTGCTGGGAAATTTATTTAAAATTATTTTTATTGGTCAGGCGCTGCAGCTGCTGGGAACCCTGGGAAATTTATTTAAAATTATTTTTATTGGTCAGGCGCTGCAGCTGCTGGGAACCTTGGGAAATTTATTTAAAATTATTTTTATTGGTCAGGCGCTGCAGCTGCTGGGAATCTTGGGAAATTTATTTAAAATTATTTTTATTGGTCAGGCGCTGCAGCTGCTGGGAATCTTGGGAAATTTATTTAAAATTATTTTTATTTGTCAGTCGCTGGAGCTGCTGGGAAATTTATTTAAAATTATTTTTATTGGTCAGGCGCTGCAGCTGCTGGGAACCCTGGGAAATTTATTTAAAATTATTTTTATTTGTCAGTCGCTGGAGCTGCTGGGAAATTAATTTAAAATTATTTTTATTGGTCAGGCGCTGCAGCTGCTGGGAATCTTGGGAAATTTATTTAAAATTATTTTTATTTGTCAGTCGCTGGAGCTGCTGGGAACCCTGGGAAATTTATTTAAAATTATTTTTATTGGTCAGTCGCTGCAGCTGCTGGGAATCTTGGGAAATTTATTTAAAATTATTTTTATTGGTCAGGCGCTGCAGCTGCTGGGAATCTTGGGAAATTTATTTAAAATTATTTTTATTGGTCAGGCGCTGCAGCTGCTGGGAATCTTGGGAAATTTATTTAAAATTATTTTTATTGGTCAGGCGCTGGAGCTGCTGGGAACCCTGGGAAATTTATTTAAAATTATTTTTATTGGTCAGTCGCTGCAGCTGCTGGGAACCCTGGGAAATTTATTTAAAATTATTTTTATTGGTCAGTCGCTGCAGCTGCTGGGAACCCTGGGAAATTTATTTAAAATTATTTTTATTGGTCAGGCGCTGCAGCTGCTGGGAAATTTATTTAAAATTATTTTTATTGGTCAGGCGCTGCAGCTGCTGGGAATCTTGGGAAATTTATTTAAAATTATTTTTATTGGTCAGTCGCTGGAGCTGATGGGAAATTTATTTAAAATTATTTTTATTGGTCAGGCGCTGCAGCTGCTGGGAATCTTGGGAAATTTATTTAAAATTATTTTTATTTGTCAGTCGATGGAGCTGCTGGGAAATTTATTTAAAATTATTTTTATTGGTCAGGCGCTGCAGCTGCTGGGAATCTTGGGAAATTTATTTAAAATTATTTTTATTTGTCAGTCGCTGGAGCTGCTGGGAAATTTATTTAAAATTATTTTTATTGGTCAGGCGCTGCAGCTGCTGGGAATCTTGGGAAATTTATTTAAAATTATTTTTATTGGTCAGGCGCTGCAGCTGCTGGGAATCTTGGGAAATTTATTTAAAATTATTTTTATTGGTCAGGCGCTGCAGCTGCTGGGAATCTTGGGAAATTTATTTAAAATTATTTTTATTGGTCAGGCGCTGCAGCTGCTGGGAATCTTGGGAAATTTATTTAAAATTATTTTTATTGGTCAGGCGCTGCAGCT